TGTTAGTTTGCATTGTGAATTATTATAATTTCTATTCTAAGACACTGCAGAACTGTAAAAATTTTGTTACAAAACTTACCCACTATTCTGATAATATACATTAACATAATATCTATCATAAAAAAATTCTGTTATTAAGTTTCTAGTTTTTCCAATAACACAGTATGTGATTAAGCATATGTTAGTTTGCATCAAGATTATCATATTTTGTAATAAGTTACTGTAGTAAATTCTACAGAACTTACTCGCTACTCTAGTAACATGCATTTCTATCATGAGTTACAATAAAAAATCCTGTTACAAACCTACGCATTATTCTGGTGACATAGTATGTGGTTGAGATTGAATTAGTTGCATTGGAACTATCATGATTTCTATCATGGGTTATAATAAAAAATTCTGTTATAGAAATCACTATTCTGATGACAACCTGTATGTGGTAAAGGTTGAGCTAGTTTGTATTGGAATTATTGTGATTTCTATCATTAAAAAAAAGTTACTTTCTTACTATTCAATGACATATAATATGTAGTTAGTTTGTTTTGGAATTATCATGATTTACCATAAAAAAATCTGTAACAGACCTTCTTTTTCTCTATAATTCGAGTTAGTAGAAGTCAACAGATTGAAAAGATAGCTAAGCAGAGACATACCAGAAGCAAACTGGTCAAGCCCAGAAACACAGCCATCAGTCCTAATAAGGAGTGCAGATAAGCCAATCCTGCGTGAATCAGCACATGAAGTCAGATAAGTACAAAATTTTAATTAGTTGCCTATTCTACAATAATTGCCCATTGTTAGGATCTGACATAATAAGCACCACGGTACGGACAAATTCGCACAATCATTTGCAAGATCCAAGATTTTTACCCGAACCCTCCCAATCCATATAGAAACCTGCTATTTTGTGGTACTGTATCTTAAAGCTTCAACTTAAAGTCAACCTGTTTAATGCAGTGTGGGAGACCACCGGCATCATGAATTCACAACACCGATACAATTAAAATTGATATTCTTGGGAACATATCCCGTCTCAGCCTATACATCAATTGCACTGATGTATGCTACAATTTCTCAATAAAAAATCATTTAATAAAGGTTAACATCTACCATCATTAACTAGAAACACTCAACTAACAGTCATGTCACGTACGTACGTACATGCAATGTTTTTTGAAAATATTTTCGTTATGTTATTCTACGCACGTGAAATGCAATCGTGCATATATTATGTAATCAAATGAGCGAAAAAAGGCAAAAACCTGTTAGGTAAAAACCTGTTTCCCCGAAACATAATCACCATCACTATAGGTTATCTGGCACCACATATTAGAAAAGAGTTATTCGGCACCGGTATCCCCCAGCTCTGCCTTATTATAAAGAAAGATTTCTTTGTATGTGAATTTGTAATCAAAGCTAATTTATCGACTTTAACGAAGTATTTACATATATGTTCTATGTAAGTAAATAACTTAGAAATATATTTAAAGAGAAGATTGTGATTTTAAATTTCTTGCAACGAACTTATATATGTATTGCCTTTATAAAGATAGATTGTAATTTTTCCTTTTTCTGGAGGAATTGTATGATATGCATGGCGGTCAAATATATTTTTTACCGGGCATAGCCACTAAAAATCTTATCAGCGAAGTTCGGTAAAAAATATATTTGGAATTTTCCGAACGATGATTTTCGCTTAACAGTACTCAAATGTTCATGTGGGTGTGCGAAAGGGAAACCTGTCAAATAAAATTTATTCGTTAGTAACTTGTCAATCTTGACGATTTGACACTGAGGCGTGACCAATCATAGGGTATGACAAATAATCATTACGAGATAAACTATATAATAAACGATTATTTGTCATACCCTATGATTGGTAACGTCCCAGTGCAAAATCGTTAAAATCGGCATAAAAATTTACTTACAGGTTTTCATTCTCGCGCACCTATATTTTAAAATTTAGAAAAATCGTATCTCGGTCTTTATCAGTGTAAAAAAAAAAAAGAAAATGAATCTTATCGACGAAAGTTATGTTCCCCAAAATCGTGTAGACCTTTTTGATTCATTTATTATTATTTTGTTTCCGATTCTTTTAATTAAATTACTTAATGTCGAAAAGAGGGAAAGAAAACTTTTTAAAATAGGAACTTTCCAGAACAAATTTAAATACTTTAAAGAAAGTTTAATTAAGGACAGTCCGAATAAAGATAAATCAGATGAGAAAAGTTCGATTGAGGACAAACAAATTCAAGAAATTAAAGAATCTATTGAAGATTTTAATCATTATCTTCTTGACGAACAAACGAAACTTAAATATAAATTTTATTACACGTTTATGCTAGAATTAGAACACATTAACAATCAGAATGACAATATGACACTTAAAGAAATATTGCTTCCCTTTTTTGATGAATTTATTTTTAATATTGTAACATGGGGAATTCCTCTCTTCATTTCCTTTGTTTACGATGATTTGTTGGCCATAAAAATTTTTTCAATTATTAATATGAGTCTTTACGTGATCTGCTTTTGTTTTGCAATTTTTGCAAAATTTTTTGCTAGAAGATTTAAATCAAAATTTTTTGGTTACAATATCAATATGAATGAGGAATTTTTTTGGGAAGTTGGAAATCATTATATGGATATTCATCAAGAAAATCAAGAAAAAGGCACACGTTATTATGATGTTATAACTTTATTTTTATTGGTTATTGGTCCAAGTATAAATTCTATTTTTTGGATTATATTTTTATTTTTATTCAAAAAAAGTTTAATATTTATTTTGTTTTTTGGTTTGATATTGATTTCATCTTTTTTGCTTTTTTTTTTCTTATCTTTTGAGAATTTTCTTAGAAAACAAAATAGAAAACAAAAAAAATTAAAAGAAAGAATATATTCCTTTCGATCGTTGTTTTTATTGATTTCTTTTTTATTAACAAATATTTTTCAAACGGTTACTATTCTTTTTTATTGGCCAATCAATTTTTATTTCCTTAAAGTATGTGTTTTTATTTTACTTTTATCATCTATACGAAATGTAACTTATTTAAGTAGAAACAAACCAGATCATTTAATAGCTACAGCTATTGCTTTATTATGAATTTTATTATGTTTTATCCTCAGATGATCGGATAAACATGACAACTAATATTATCAGATTTTTGTGTGTAAAAGTTAAATATATAAATTTGATTTTTAAACCTTTAACAATACTACTGATAGTACAAAAGCAAAATCTATCCGTAAAATGAAAGACACTACAAATCCAATATACTCTTTTCACATTACGATATTAAAATTCTCTCGTATTTCAACAACTACCGTAAACTGCTGTTATGGTTTGTACATGAGGTATTTGATATTAAAAATTTCTTTTATTATTGGATACAATTTGTAGAAATTTTTATTAGAGCCGATGAAACCTCTATTAGTATTATTCAGAGTCTTCTATGCACCAACTAAAGAGTGACATCCATAATGAATTCTTGTTTTCCGAGGAGTTAATGTTAATAGTGTTTGATACCGTGTCCCAATAGCTTATGACTTGTGAATACCAGTCTGAAAATTTTTGTTTATTGTGTGGATCTTTGCAACCATTTATTATAGATTTGTATAACTCAACAACGTCCTCGTGATATTGTTTCGATGGCGTTGAATATGCAGTTGCACCATTTTTAAATGGCGCAAATAGTCTGAAACATCCTTCATTTTCAATAGTCATATTACTATTGTTTTCGGTTTCTAAAGCTTTTTTAAGGACATCATAAAAAATTTTTTTTAGCATACTTGATTTTGTTTCATCTTTTTCGGTAACATGTTGTACCACACGTATATCAGGAAACTTCTTAAGGTGTGCATTTGTTACAATTGCAGTCTGTACTATCTGTAAAATTTCGGTCAACTCGCTTATTGATTCTCCAAGTATGTTAATAATTATTAAATTGCTTATTCCTGTTGCAACAGTTGCCAACATTTGATCCCTCTTTTCTGATTCCGATTCACCCTTTTTCTCTGATGCACCAAGTCCTTCAGTGTCTATCAAGATAAATGCATCAACACCAAGCATATCAGATAAATCTTTTTCTAAAAACAATAATTGCATAAAAAACCCTTTAGAACAACGCTCAGTTGAAACGGCAAATTTGCATGAAAAAAGTGCATTTAGAAGAGTGGACTTTCCAGATGACTGTAATCCAAGTATACTGATTACAAAAACTCTAAGGTTCTGAAATTTTTTATCAATAAAATTACAAATTTCTAAGAACCAATCTTTGGATATAGTTGTAGAATGACCATCAAGTAATTCTATAGTATTACCATAAATTAACAGTTCGGCACAATATTCTGGTAGATTTAAAACATCTTCTTTGGCAAGACCATTGATGGAAATAGAATTTGAATCATCATCAATATAAGAAGTAAAATTTTTATAAATCTCGTAAATATGTCTTAATCCACGGAAAAAGTCTTCTATACTCAAATTTTTGTTATCAACTTCTTTCCAAAGGTTTGTGATTTCTTTTCGAATCTTTTTATCTTTTTCTTGATCAAATTTTGGGTTATTTAATTCTTTCCTTTTTAATATAGCATTATTCCGAGACTCAGAAGACTCTTCCATAGAAAGCCTGGATATTTCTCTTTCAAGATGTGCTAGAGCTCGGTTTTGTATAATAATAGGCAGTTTTAGAATATTGACGAATAGTTGAATTGATTCTTTAAACTCTTCTTCTTTCCAAAATTCTGATAAATCGTTAAATAGTTTTTTTTGAAGTTGCATAATTTTCGATTTAAAGTAGCTGCAACCTTTCTTCTTAATAGAATTTACAATTTTCACAGATTCATGAAACTCGTTGCTTCCAGCAAATTGAAGTGTTTTTCCTAACTTTAATTCATTAATATTAATTGGTTCTGTTGGTAATTCAAAATCTAAGGCTTTTTCAAAAGTTTTGCATACTTTTTCTATTGTTTTATACTTTTCTAATAAGTTTGCATCAATTGTATATTTTTTAACTTTGCTATTTCTTCTAGGATCCACATAATTATATATTACATTTTTAGTGTTAATTAAATTTCTAACTTTATCTTGAGTCTCATCATATTCAGGCATTAAGTAAACCAAGAAGCAAGAAGGAAATTGCTTTACCAATTCTATTTGATCTGGATAATCTAGGGCATCACCGTGTAAATTTGCAAGCAATATGATCTCTTTTCCTCCTTTTGCATAATGATTTTTAAAAACTAGATTCCACAGTTCGTATCCACAAGTCTCTTCGGTTAACCAAATGAACTCGATACTTCCGCTGGCCATATATGGGATTCCATATTCTGCTTTCGGCTCAGAACATGAAGTGAACATATATTTTGGATTCAATAATTGATTAATTATAGTGCTTTTGCCTTTAGAATTCTCTCCAATCCGAATTGCAACTATCATTTTGAAAGAATCCTTGAAAAGATGATTTTTTACTATAGTTCCATTACTTGTTTTCCATTCAATAACTGATCCTGTAAATAAAGGAAGCATCACTTTGTACTTTTCCTTTTCATCTAATTCGGGTATTAATAAAGGAAATGCAATTGGAAATTGGGATAAAGTTTGAAAGATATCTTGAGCTACAATACATTCAGCAGAAGCAAATAAAGTAGCAATGCAATCAAATCGAGATAATCTATTCTTTTTTTTATCATTTGATTCACCACTGGAGGCTTCTTCATATTCATCATAAACTACTAAACTTTTAAAATTTTCTGCTCTAAGAATATCAACTCCCCACATATTAACTTTCTGCCGAACATATGGAAGAACTGCAGCCACATTCCCACAAATTTTATTAGATAGTTTTGGTGGTGAAATAATATTGCCAAGTTCAATATAATGTTGATAATCAAATAAATCTATTTTTTCTCCCAAAATTTCATGCCATTTTTCATTTACTTGTAAAACTTTATTTTTATCCGTATGACCATAAATTTCGTAAAGTTTTTCAAGTTCTTCCTGTGCAAAAGCATAATCTTTATTAAGTTTTAATGCCTTTTTTAAATCCATATGCGCCTTTTCAAATTCCTTGGAAATTCGATAAATAGAACCGCGATATGATAAAGCAATTGCATTGTCCGGTTTGATATCTAATGATGTGTCAAAGCATGTTAATGATTTATTATATCTTTTCATTTTATAATATGATACTCCATGTGAACTTAATGAATCTGCAAATTCTTTACTGTCTTCACTGTCTTTTGGTATTTTTTTCGGACAAATATTTCTATAATCGATTAATGCAGGTATATTATATGGTTCAATTTTCAATAAATCATCTAAATCATTCAATGATTTCTCATCATCTTTTGAAGAGCGATGAACTGCCCCAAGTTCTCTTAATGCAAATGGATCATCTTGTTCCAATTTCAACGACTCTTTTAAGTCTTTGATTGAATCATCATATTTTTTCATTTTATGATAGGTTGCACCACGATATTTCAATGCAAACGCATCATCTGGGTTAATTTCTAATGAGTTATTTAAATCTTCAATCGAATCTCCATATCTACCATTCATATAATTAACAGCTCCACGATATTTCAATGCGACTGCATTATTTGTGTTGTTTTTTAGTTGTTTGTTTAAATACGGGAGCATTTCATCAAATTTTTCTTCCTTGAGCAAAAATCTTAATTTATCTTCTGAATACCTTGAAAAACCTTCATCGAGAAAATAACGTTTTTCGTAAAGCCAATTTTTGAGTACCAGAATAACATTTTCTAAAGTTTCATTACGATTACAACAGTTTTTGATCACTGTTTGTAATTTTCCCGGCGTATCTATTCCTACAAGTTCATCGATTAAATTGCTTCCAATTTCCATCCTGAAAGTTAATAAAAATAACATTATTAATTATTATATAAATATTCAGGTGTATGTTCGAACTACAATTTATATGAATAAATAAATATACTCTTTGCCATTCATAGCAATTTCCAATACAACTATTCCATAATCATAAATATCTAAAATCATAAAAAATCAATTTTTATTAATAAAATATGCAATAAACATGTTATAGTTTCATCATGGAAATTGATTTTTGACACGATATAAATATTATAATCGGTTATTTGATGCATTACGGTTAAAAAATATAATAATACAAAAATAAATATAAGTCCTTACTGTCTTTTTTTTTATTTTTTAATGCCTTTTTTGTGCTTGTATTAGAGTTGAAATCTTCAATCTTTTTCTCTTCTACTTCAATTATATTAAATTTCGTATCGATTAACATATTTTTTTTGCTTGTACTAGAACAAAAACCCGCAATTTTTACATTTAGTTTCTTATCGATTAAAATCTTTTTAGTACAAAGATTCGGATGTATAATTTTATGATCATGACATTCCAATAATCCTTCTGCAATATTAACGACCATATTTATCTTTACATCCCATTCGGGTTTATTTTTTGAAAGGTAATCATGTAAATTTCCCTTTTCTACGTAATCCATTATCAAACATTGTTTATCATCAGGAGATAATGTCATTCCAAAAAAATGAACGACATATTCACTATAAAGATGTTTGTATTTTCGAATTTCTTTGACAATTCCATCGTTAGTATTTTTCAGTTTTTTAACTGCGTAAATAAAATCAAAAAAAAAAAAAAAAAACAGATTAAAAAAATATATCGATTTAAATTTTTGGACGAATATATTTGTCACTAGCGGTTACATCCCAGATTAAACGATTAAACACTTCAAAATTTTCAAATCAAAATAACACTTATAAAATAAATTTTGTCTTAACAAAAAATATTGCATAATTTTACAAACAGTATATTATGACCTTTTGTAACCTTAAATACAGCTCTAAATAAATTCCGGGAATTCACTAACACTATTTCGCCGACAATAACTTAAATCGGGCTAACATTGTCGGCGAAATTTATTATCCCAAATTAGAGTATAGTCTCCACCGGAGGCAAATTCTCTTAAAAATGATTTATTATATTGAAGAATTTGAATACCTGCAACATCTTTTTCATTATATTTTTCGAGAAAAATTTCACTAAACTTTCCATCATGTATTTTTTTTTCAAGCTTAAAATTTTTAAATGCGATAAAATTTTTAAACGTTTCAGGGAGACGGAGATGGGGATACATGCTAGAATGTGTAAAAAGTAAAAAACGAATCTTTTTTAAACCCTCACTTTTTATAAATTTTAATTATAATCACATGATTGGAATTGTTGTGACTTTTGTATAAATATGAATAAGTGACTATAAAGATGATTAAGGAGCTTATATTCAAAAATAAAGTTTTTTTCATAAAGTCAATATATCGGAATACGTAGAATCGAAATAGTAATACAATCCGATTTTGGAAAATGTGATTGACACATCTTTTTCAAATCGTACAAAAATCAGTATTCTTTTTAATAATTTACCATAAAGTTTGATCATAATAAAGATATTGCACCAATTAAATGTTGCAGCTACAATCTTTCATCAACCATAATTAAACGAACGCAATAAAGTTGAATTAGGGCCGAATTAAATAGTGTAGAAGTCCAATCCGGATAGATCCGTCATCCATTTATCCATATCTGAATTTATCCGGATATCCATTTACTATTGGTATCCGGATAATCCGACAAATA